CGCAACGCCTTCTTGTGCCTTCAGAAAGGCGTTTAACGGTTCCATGGCTTGGCTTCGAGTGACACTCAGCGCAGCGGGGTGATCCGGAACCAGAAGAGGGCGGGGGGGGGGGGGGGGAGGAAGAGGAAGAGGGAGAGGAGGAGAGGATGGGGCAGGGGACGGGGAGGAGGGGGAGGAGGAGAATGGGGCGGGGGATGGGGAGAAGGAGGGGGAGGGAGAAGGAGGTTGAGGGGTGGAGGAGGAAGAATATTAATAAAAAGAGGAGGAGTAGGAGAAGGGAGAGGGAGATGAGGAGGTAGAGGAGAGAAGGAGGAAGTGAAGGAGGGGTAGGAAGAACAATAAGAAAAGAAAGGAAAAAGAGGAGGAGGGGAGGGGGAGAAGGAGAAAGTGGAGGAGGGTAGGAAGAATAAGAAAAAGAAAGGAAAAAGAGGAAGAGGGGAAGGAGGTAGATGAGTAGGATAAAGTAGAGGAGTGTAGGAGTAGGAAGAAGGAGGAGTATGGGGAGGAGAGGCAGGAAAAAAATAAAAAATAAGAGAAGGAAAATAATGTCAACAATAATGAGGAGAAGGAAGATAAAATAGGAGGAAGAAGGTGGAGGAACAGGAAGAAGAGAAGAGAAGGGGCGAAGGAGGAGAAGGAAGAAGAAGAAGAGGAGGAGGAGTAGGAGGGGGGAGGGGGAGGAAGAAGGGGGAATGGAAGAGGAAGGAGGAGTAGTGGAGATAGAGCAGCAGCAAGAGGAGAAGGAAGAAGCAAGAGGATCGGAGGAAGAGGATGACAGGACAACCGCCATTCCACTTCGTGCTACGGGCGTATTCAATTCTCCGACACAATGGCGACGACTCTCACTCCCTCTTCTAATTATCCAGTTGATGGCTCGCCGCTTTTCGAGTTTATTCTTACAGATCACAATGACATAACTGCTTCTTCGGTAAATTTTGAGAGGGAACGAAAGAAGGAAGTTTGGTGTTGTAGGAAGTGAGAGCATTTCGTTCAAAGGTTTGCGTTTCGGATGGTTTCGGTTTCCTGCTTCCAAGATTTACGGACAGTACAAGAATTCCGCGTTTGTGTCTCTTGCGTGCGGACTTTTACGCAAATCTTTGGTTGTAAATTCAGATAATTGCGGAGATCTAACTTGTGTTATGTTACACATAACGTTGTACATATGGTGTAGGAAGATGTTTGGTACAAACTGTACGGGGAGATTCATCTATCTTGGGTTTTATGACCCGTCTAGGTTTAATGCTACGCACTTTTGTCGTTATTGTTGATATGACGCAAAGAACTGTCTTTTATGTTCTATTACATCTTTAGAAATGGCAATATATTTCTCATGTCTTATTAAATCATAATAAAATGTCAAAATACGGAAGTAAATATGAATGAGCTTTTTTTAATAATTGACGAGCTCCTAAAAAGAGAGATTAATCAAACCGGAGACAATCCATGTTTGATGTGACTGTCAGCTGATTCATAATTGCTTCTAATCCCATGATTAGTTATCAAGAATGGCAACACAAATTGCCAGTACCATATCATTAATATCTTTT